CGCAAAACAGAGCGTGCTGCTCTGACCGGTTTTAAAGGGTTAACAAAAACCCTGCACAGTAAGAAGTTAGAGAGTGACACATCATAACCCTGGTGATGCTGGATGACAACTGACTGTTTTCTTATACTGAAATAAGCAGGACAGATTTCCTAACATGAGAATGTATTGATGGATTTATTCGGCCTGCACCATCAGCAGCGGTGTGTGGAGGAGAGCGCACTCACTGCAGGCAAAGCGAAGAAGGACACTCCGATCAGAGCGAAGGTGCCGGCTAGCAGCCTCCCAGCCCAGGTCTTTGGGGTTTTGTCCCCGTAGCCGATGGTGGTCAGTGTGATCTGAAAAACACGAGGAAGATAATCCTTTTAAATTAAATCACTAAAACTCGACACAACAGCCTCGGTGTCCTTGTTTCAGCAGTAATGTTTCCATGGAGACTCATCTCTCCCTGTGACCTTCGTATCGATCCGTTAAAGGGCTCTTCAGTGTTTCCCAGGGTCAGAGGATCGCCCTGAAAAGCAGGCAGTGACAGTGGAACATCTTGTTGAAGGACATTCTGGCGGCGCAGATGCTCGCTGTCACGGAGCGTGAACTTTTGGCCTCTCTGGTTGAAGGACGGTCGCTTTAATGAGGCATCGGCGCTTCCCTTGCCAGAGGCCCTCATTAAAGCTCAGAGCTCTGCGAGCTTTCAAACGGGATTCACCGGAAACCCTCCGGCTTTCCACCGGCACATTACTAGAAACTAAAACCTGATTCTTTTCCTGTCCTCTTGGCAGAAATCCCAGATTTGATTTAAAGCCAAAATATTAGCAGTTGATGATTTGGCCAGGCACCATCTGTCCACCGAGCTGCAGCCAAACCTACTCTCACCTCGAAGCTGCCAGAATCACTTCCAGACAAATAATTTGCAGAATTCAAGACAGGCTTTTTGTTTCCAGCAACAAAATTTCAACAATATGCATGTTAGTCGTAAACTTGGAGCTTCTTTTTTTAAATGCACGTACCAGCCCCCACCAAAGCGCATCAGCGTAGGTGTCAAAGTCCTGCTCTTTGGGCTGGGCCGTGGGGTTCTCCTGGTCAGACATGCTCACAGAGGCGTCGTCCTTTTCCACCAGGTAGACAAGGAAGGACGCCAGGATGAGAGACAGGAAGCCGATGTACCAGGCTGTGATCAGCTCCTGCAGAAAACAGGAAAATATTTGAAAGAATCTGATATTTGTTATTTTAAATCCAACAAAAGACTAATTCATTATTTACACATCCACAGCTGAGCAGCAGATTCCAGGTCTGAGAAATGAAGCCAACAGCCGCAGTTCCTCTAATGTCCACTTGAGGCTGCCTTCAAAACTGAGTCACTTCCTGCAGACTCCCATAAACTTTCTAATCGCTTCCAGTTTAGTTTCTTTACATCTTCACCACACTTTACTCGATACTTCAAGCACTTTCAGTCGTCTCCGTCCAGAGAAGTGCACATTTCCATAATTATATTTTCCAGCAAACTCCCTTAAAAAGCCCAAAACGCAACAAGAAATGTGCTCGGGTCCACGCCTACCTTACTGTGCGCGTAGATGGCGGAGCCCAGCAGCTTCCACGTCCCTCCTCTCCGGTCCATGCGCAGCATCCGCAGGATCTGCAGGAAGCGCAGGCTGCGCAGGGACGTGGCCAGCACATTTCCCTGGTTACGCACCGCCACCACCGGCACCGAGGCAATCAGCACGAAGATGTCTGAGGCGAAAACACAGCAGACAAAACCTCGAGTAAAAGACTGTCGGGGAAAAGCTTTCTTCACACGGTTAATGAGACTGACCCGACACGCTGATTCAGTCGTCTTTGTGGGACGACGAGTTCCTAACAAGAGCCGAACATAAAGACGCCGATGAGACGCTCCTAATACGTTTAATGGTTTTAACACACAAGGAGGATTAATGTGGATGCTTCCTCCTTCAAAGTGCCGCACAGGACATTATATTAGCTGTAAAATATTTGCAGGGTTATTAATATATTTCCTGTGTGCACCGTGTTACTGCACACAGACTCACTCAGTAACCACTCGATGGTTATTACACCAAGCTGGATGGTTGAACAGAGGAGCCGTCTAAAGCTTTTAGAGCCTGGATCAGATTTTAAAGGTTGGTGACTTAAAAAAAAGCCTTTCATGGCATCACAAGCTGTATTTTTGTCCTGGAAAACTATTTCTGTGTTTATAGGTCAGGGCAGCTGCAGGAAATCGAAAACTCATCATCATCATCCAAAAGCAGTTTTCCCAAAAACTGCAGAGAAGTCTGCAAAATAGTGAGACTCGCTTCATCTTCATCTGCAGAGCTGCTGTCATTAAAAGCAGAAAACGTAAAAGAAAAAGCTTTGCAGGAAAACACATTATGACAGAGCACATCTTGCTGCTATGTAAAGATTTACGTCACAGTAGCTGCGTCCACCTTTACACTCTGTAGGGTCTAACTGAAACACTCCTGCAGATCTCACTGAAAGTCGAAGTTGACATTTACAGGTGCCAGAAAATGACGGAAACAAACTCTACGTTATTAATTCAGGGGTGGGGAACTCCAGGTCTCGAGGCCCTGCAGGTTTTAGATGTGTCCCTGATCCAACACAGCTGATTTAAATGCTAAATTACTTCTACAACATGTCCTGAAGTTCTCCTGAGGCCTGCTAATGAAGGGTGAGCTCTAAAACCTGCAGGACACACTTAGGCTTGGAGTTTCCTGCCTCTGATTTACTTATATCTGAAACCCCCTGTAGACGTGTCGTAAGCCTTCCTTACTGACGAGCTCCCAGTAACACATCGTTCACCAAACAGGATGTTCAGCAGCAGATTTCCATGTTTGATGCTCAGAAACCTTTAATGACCTTACCTAGAATGCACAGGGGTTTGCGAGCGAACTTCAGCCTGCCCCTCCATCCTTTATAGCGACAGCAGCAACCGGCCGCCCAGATCCTCAGCGCGAACTCGGCTCCAAAGATGAAGATGGCGAACGTCTCCTGCACAAGGTCAAAAACCCATTCACAGCTCGCTCAGATACGAGCTGCACGCTACATCAATAGTGATTCAAATTCAGTGAAATCTTCCAGTTTTACTGCCTCTTTGTTTGTTGTTACATCCTGTTTTGGACCCACTCCACGTCTGCTCTCTCAGTCGTGGAGCAACAAACGAGATTAAAAAGAGAGAAAATTGAATATTTGAAGTGTTGTTTTGTCCAAATAAGCTCTGATTTGTTCAGAAGGGCAAACTGAAACTGTCCAGGTGGGAATGATTTCAACCAAAAATTGGATTTCAATTTTATTTTGTACATTTTTCCTTCGGACGCTTCATTTTTGGAGATTTTCTTGTAAATTTTCTGGCAGTTCTTTTATTAAATCAACATTTTCCTGCTTTAATCTAATATATTTATTATTTTGTACTTTTTAAAAAAATGTCCTCTAACCATTTATTGATTTACTCACTCATGTTTTACAGCTGCTCATTACTATCAGTCCTATTTCAGCCTTTTGATGTTTGTGTATCTGCATTTTACACTATTCATTTTTTAAAACAGTGAAGTATATATATTATAAGTATTTATATCAGCTGAGTTTAGTTTATTTAAATGTGAGATACAAGTACCAGATTTTATGCTCCAGCCCTCTGTGACCCCTGAATTTGACATTTTTTTAAAGGTCAAATTTGCTGATTTGAGTGAAACATGCGTCTGATGATGCACATTTAAAAACGCTTCTGTTTAGTGGAACAAATGATACAAACATAAATGAAGAAATGAAATCTCACCAGTATGACCAGCCAGTGTGCCGACACGTTCTCGTGTTCCTTGAATGTGGTCAGTATGGCCAGAATCAAACAGCCCAGAACGATTAAAAACCTGCAGACACACAAGAGGAAAAACATTCAGTTACAATAATGCACGACACTCATGTGCAGGACGCACAAACACTACAGAGTGCAGGAAGAAAACTGCACAGTCCTACTGTCACCACTAGAGGGGGCTACATCTCCCTTTAATTTATGCACATGAGGCGCAGAAGGAGAACTGAAAACAAATGTTTTTCCTAAATTATTTAGATTTAACAGGTAAACGAGTAACATGAACATGAGTTAATTATACAGAAGGTTGACGGTATTAGTTGCGGGGGGGGGGGGGTAAAACATCCTTTATATGGGGAAGGGGAGCAGGGGGGGTAAATTATATTATAATGTGCTTATATCACATTTACTCAAACCTGCAGGAGTAACTGCAGGATAAGACAAAAAAAACCCAACAAAAACATCCTCATTAAACTTGTTGTCATGAATCTGTGGTTGCAGACCCAAAGAGAAGGACAGACTGAACCTTTAGGACACATCAAGTCTTCAGGGGGAACGAGACACATCTGAACACAAACTGAAACTTAAAGCTGTAACTG